CAGCCAATCATATTGCAGCTTTCATCAGTATAGGAGAGTCACGAAAATAAAATGGTGGATTATGATTGGTTGCTCTAGGTTTTGGAGTGGTTCCTGTTCCCTCCACCCCCGGTAGGAGTACCTGTAAATAATTGGTGATGGCGTCCTCTGTAATAGTGGGGACGAGGACTGCAGTGTCCAGGTGTTCAGGGGGACATTCCAGGGTCACCTGACTGTGAAAGAGATAACAATTTGACATATATTATGGGATGGCAGATATACAATGTATACAATATACATACAGTATACACATATTGTAAACACACAATCAATCATACAGTATATAAGAGAAAATTGTTAGTAAATACTTGTAATTTTCCTTTTCTCTTTAACTCCATGGTAGTATATGAATGGGTAGACTCGGCCCTCACTCCTAAGGCCGGCCATACAGGGGTCAAAAATCGACCGATTTTTCATCCGAAAATCGGACCTAAGAATAATCGGCCGATTTTCGCTTGTTAGTGGGTCAATGGCACCGGGCCGATTTTCGTGGTTCCTCCCCTTTTCGGTGATCAGGCATGTTGGAAAATTCATGAAAAGGGCGGTTTTTGACTCAATGATGGTCAAAATCGTACGATCGTTTTTCCAAAAAGAATCTGCGCATGAGCCGTGACCTGGAAGGAACAGAAGTTTTGCATGTTATATGGGGTGAAGTTTATGGCTTGGTCAGCCGATTTTCGAAATCAATGATGGCACCATCGGATTACAGAGCGAATAACGTTTCCGATTTTCGGACGAAAAATCGTTCGGAATTCCAACCATGTATGGCCTGCAAAACTCATAGGACCTTCTCCCATATAGTTTGGGACAGATCTAGTTCACATGTTCCATAACAAAGCTTTTCAAACAGCTGGGAGGGATCCTATACTGCCATGGGTTTAATCCGGGAAGGAAAATTACAGTGTTTGATAATCATTTTCTGTTTTCCTGACTAATTCCATGGCACCATGCGAATGGGAAATAACTAGACACAAACACGGCTGGGGTGCAGAGCAAATAAAGTTTCAAACACAGCTCTAGCTACATCAAACTTTAAGGTCAAAATAACAAGAGGAGTCTAGCTTCATTCCACAACAGGGGTGGACTGACCATTTGGGAACTCGGGCACTGCCCAAGGGCCCAGGGTCAGTAGGGGGCCCCATGAGATGCCCCTGGTACCTTTCATTGGCTTTTTTGGGTGTGGTTTGAGCGTGGGCGAGGACATAGCAGCCCCATGATCCTCTATTGCCCGGGGGCCCCATAAGTTGTCAGTCCACCCGTTCCACAGTTAGCCAAAAAGGTATTAGTGGAGGACCACGCCATCACCTTACAATTATTGGCAGCACCCTGTGACAAGAAGCCTACACACTCTCCTGGTTGGGTGCATTGTCATCACTTTGGTAGTAGGTGAACCTTTAGCTTCATAAGCCAGTTGTCTTGCCAGCATACCATGTACAGCGATATGAGGGTTCCTTCATTTGGATTCTGCCAATATCTGACAAAGAAACGGTCTAAATCACTAACGAAGCCAAAGCTTGTGAGTAAGCTCAAAGTATCCTGACAGTCAGCAAATTTAACTTATCATCTTAGTGGTCCTACATGTAGGGAGAACAATTTGTTCCCATGGGATGATGACACCACTTTGGATCACATTCCAGAATGAATATAAGCAGGATACACATATATTAGTGCAGCGCCCCCAAATACTACAATACCCCTTGTGACAATACCTAAAACCAATCCCCTCAGGGGGATGTGTTCAACTGAGGAAGCCACGTGACCTGTGGCGACTACTGTTAGCCTCATATTTTGTGCACTGATATTAAACTTTTTACTGGTACTATTTCATCGCACGCCACAAACATTTTGGCCACTGTTGGTCTCATTCCCTTCTTCACCCAGTTGGGGGACAGGGATGTTCAATAGGTAGGGGGAATAGGAAAGGATGCAGTTTCCTCTCTCTCCCCCCCCCCCTCCACCAAGCTACTAACTTCCATCAGAGCAGTCACAGAATGGAGGAATAGACTCAGTAAAAAAACAAATCCCTGTCCAGACAATTAATGTAATGTACACTTGCTGCTCAAGCATCTGGTACTTTAAAGATACAAAAGTTACCAATGTACTACTTCAAATTTCAATTAATGAAATTTAATAAAGCAGTCCAAAATTCAGTAAAATAGGAATTTTGCTAAGAAAGGGGTTTTGCTAAGAAACCCCTAAAGGGTTAACCACTGCTAAAGGATGCCGATTCCACAGCAGAGCCCTGAGGTTTCACCAGATGGTTGATTAACGGATCCGGCCATAGAGAGACCAGGATCTACACGCCATGATGTCACCTGTTGGAATAATCCTGAACACCGTCCACAACACCCCCTAAAAAGAGCCCTACTTGAGGGTCCAGATAAAGGGTGGTCTGCACCTAGTGAGTGTCAGTGAAATCAGGTCAGCCACAAGTTTTCCTGCAGCCAGGTAAATGGAGGGTTCTTGCATTCCTTGTTTGGTCCTTTGAGGTAAGGAAGACAATATAGGAACACGTGGACTGGTGATCAACATCAGACTTTCATGGGAGATGGTCCTATGGGGTAGGTAGCGAGGGCAAATTCTATCCCATCCGTATACTTCCAAATTTCCAATGAGTTAGTCACAGTTATATATATATATACACACACAATCACAAAGATATACAATGTTTACAAATCTATATGTGTCTGTACAGTACCAGGATATCCGACACGTCGGATCTTCAGGATATCAGCCACCAGACTTTGTGTCCAGCAGCAAATGAGAACAATGAGGGCCACGGGCAGAGCTCCTCACAGTGCCATACTGAGTCAAATGGGGACCCTTTAATATTTCTACAAAGGGGAACCCATAATTTGGGTCCACAAATTAGAACTCAATGATAGACTTATAACTGGTGAAGGAGACTCCATAGTGGGGTCTATAAATTTTTGGGGGAGACAACACATAATATATCTATATCTTCTGGAACAGGAGGATCCATATTAGGTCTATAGCTAAGGGAAGAACAGAGGGGACCCTATATCAAGCCTAAAGGTAGGGGAAGACAGAAGGGACCCCATAATAATTTATAGCTGGGAAGAGGGCAGAGGGGACCCCTTATTAGGTCTGCAATTAGGGAAGGATAGAGGGAACCCCAATATTAAGTCACTAGCTGGGAGACAACATAGAGACACTACCAGTAAGTCTATAATTGGGAGGAGGGACAATGAGGACCCCATATTAACCTATAATTGGGGGGAGGGACAATGAGGATCCCCCATATTAATCCTATAATTAGGGGGAAGGACAAGAAGGGACCCCATATTAAGTCACTATAGCTGAGGAGAGAACCAGAGGGAATTTATATTAAGTCTGTAGCTAGGGGGAGGACAGAGAGGAATCCGTAAATACTTTTATAGCTAGAGAGAGGACAGAGGGGACCCCATATTAAGTCTGTGGTTGAGGGAGGGACAGGGGGGACCCCAATATTAAGTTAAAAGCTGGGGGTACAACATGGGGACACTTATATTAAGTCTATAATTGGTGGCAGGGACAATGAGGACCCTCATATTAACCCCCTCCTTCTATAATAGGAGGGGGGACAGGAGGGGACCCATATTAGTCTATAGCTGAGGGGAGGGCAAAGGGGACCCCATATTAATTCCTATATCTGGGGGGGGAGGACAAGGGGGACCCATATTAAGCCTATATCTGGGAGAGGACAGAAGGGGACCTACTTGGTAATGGACCTTCGATTCTCATATTGGCAGGTGCTGAGTCCCATCAGATTATTCGCCGCTAATCCGCTTGTATGTAACCTGATCCTTTCTGCTGAGAGATGTGCCAGCCTGGGGAGCGTTACTTAAGAGAAGCGACAGGTAACTACGGAGGAGCAATGGTTGCTAAGATAACCATCTCCGTGGAACAGTACGTCACTGCATCGTTATCATAACTTAACTGCGTCATTTTCGGCTCCTCTCGCTTTCACTGTGATAACACGACATCTGCAAACCTGCACAAAAAGAAAGAACATTCCTGTTAAAATCTGTAT